ATATTAGTTCACTGTCGGAGCCGCTCAGAGGCCCGTAAACCAGTAATGTTCTGCCACTTGAAATCCTGTTCAACAGCTTCCTCTGGCCCGGTCGCCTCATCTGGGTTTTCAGCTACTGTTTGCGGCGGCTGGAAGGCGCTTTTCACGCACGTAATCCAAACTGCAGGCATCAGAATAATAAAAGCAAACATATTTTGTTGGCAGGTTTCAACATTTTAAGTTAATTTAGGCACTAATAAACTGTTTCACTGGAGTGATCATGGAAGAAGCTGAAGCAAATCATCAAACCAAGGTTGTCTTGTTTCGTAAAAGTTAAACACATGATTATGTGCAGAGTTACAAATAGGCTGCCATGTCTTATACTAATAAATCCTATCCTGCTGTTGTGATATTGAACGATGTAATCAGTTTTAACACACCAATGATCTTATTATGATGAGAAAACAGCTTTTGTTATCTTTAGATAATGAGAAAACGAACTCGTTTTCTCGAGAAATCCACCTTGAAAAAGTATCGGAGCCACTCTCAGCTTCTGTAGATTTGTTCTAATAATCTAATCAACACTTTGATGGGCTCATAGTCACACGATGACATTGTGATGTAAAGCTGTGTGTCGTCTACATGAGAAATGATAACTGATCTTGCTGCCTGCTATAATCTGAGCTAAGGGGACCGTGTAGATGTTAAATAGGAGGGGCCCCAGAATGGCACCTTGACGAACTCCACATTTGATTTTTCTCGTCTCTAATTTAGTTCCCTAATAACAGAAAGATGTCCCTGTCCTTCAGGTAGGATTTAAACCACTCAAGTGCTGCATCAGAAAAAGTACTTTACAATGGGAGCTGAAACAATTAATCGATTATTAAAATAATTATCAACTAATTTAGTAATCGATTTATCATTAAATGGAGTATAAAGACTCTAAAACATGCCTTTAGCTGACAGAGCGAGTGACCCACTTAGAGCACTAATTATACCAAGATTGTGAGAAAATAAAAAAATATTTTGCATTTAAGATAAAAAAAACGTTTCTGTCTGTCAATCTGCTCTATCCAGAACTCCTCAAGTGGAATAGATTTAGATTTACCTGGTTTAATTTTGTAAAAAAGCCTTCTGTAAGGAACCTTTGGCTATCTGATTATTAATCGATTAATCGAAAAAACAATCGACAAATTAATTTTTTTACAAATTAATCGAGAGTTGCAGCCCTACATATAATACTTCTGCTTCCATGATATTATTAATTCAATTCAATTCAGTTTATCAATATAGCGCCAATTCAAAACACATGTCATCTTAAGGCACTTTAAAGTTCACCAGATCATCCAGTCAAATTGATTCATCTTTTTCTATCTAACGAAAACTAGTAGATTGCATGGACTCAGTGACTCAAAGGCAATCCCTCACACTAAGCATGCTTGTAGTGACAGTGGAGAGGAAAAACTCCCTTTTAACAAGAAGAAATTCCAGCAGAACCAGGCTCAGTGTGAGCGTCCATCTGCTGAGGCCGACTGGGGTCCAAGGAGACAGAAGCAGACATAGAAAAAGAAGAATAGATACAAAAGACAACTGTCAACCAGCTCCACAGGCAGCCCCATCCAGGAAACACACAGCCAGGCAGACAACCTCCGAGCCAGCTTCCGTATCAGAGGATGAAGAGAGCACATCCAGTTAGTCACAGTCAGAGAAACAGGACTACACTGAAAAACAGGCCAATCTCCAACATCTATCTACATCTATCTACTATGCCAACCCATGGTGATTAACATGAACCAATAAGTTGTCCCTGGAGCCAAACATTAACCCTTCACATCCACCCCTCGGGTCCATAAATAGAGGGCAGCTAAACTACTAAAATACTTTAGTTTGGAGAAGACAACTGAAAAGTGTGTACTATGACTGAAGTTGGACTAGTCCATAAAACTACTACTATTCAGTAGTTTACTTCCCATACTACTGAATATAGTGATTTAACTCTAACTAGTCATAGTACAGCACTTTATTTACTATATTATTAACATGAGAGAAGCAAAGAACAGACAGGAGAGGTTCTTTTACTTAAAGGAATAGTACACCCAAAACATGATTAGCCTTCATTTTCTACTCACCCCCATGCTGAACAACACTCTGGAGTACTTTTTTGATATCTCAAATGCATCTGGAGATCTGGGAGGCTTCTTGCTGTCTGCTGACATTCAAATAATGGAGGTCTGAGGCGCCCGAGGCAGAAAGGTCCATAAAAGTCCACAAAAAACGTGTCAATATTCCTCCATACTGCTCGTCCAATGTATTCCAAGTGTCCTGAGTGGGTAGCGTCCAGAATTTACTCGAAACGAAGTCATTTAGAATGTTTTTAGAGCATAAACAGTAGTGTATAGGATTTCCTGAAAGCGCGCGCCTGCGAGTTCACGACGCTACGGAAGCCAGCAGACCAAACCAGATGAAAGTGCGCATTCAGCTCGGCAAAGAACTCATGCTCTTCCTCAACACTGAAGTCCTCAGACATTTTTCTTTCGTTGTTTCTTTCTTTGCACAGGTAAACAGCACATTTCTTCTTCTACGCTTGCATTATCAGCAGAGCAGACGCTGAATGCGCACTTTCATCTGGTTTGGTCTGCCGCGGTTTCCTTAGACTCGTGCTTCTAGGAAATCCTATACACTACTGTTTAGGCTCTAAAAACATTCTAAATGACTTCGTTTCGAGTAAATTATGGACGCTACCCACTCAGGACACTTGGAATACATTGGACGAGCAGTATGGAGTAATATTGACACGTTTTTTGTGGACTTTCATGGACCTTTCTGCCTCGGGCACCATAGACCTCCATTATTTGAATGTCAGCAGACAGCAAGAAGCCTCCCAGATCTCCAGATGCATTTGAGATATCAAAAAAGTACTCCAGAGTGTTGTTCAGCATGGGGGTGAGTAGAAAATGAAGGCTAATCATGTTTTGGGTGTACTATTCCTTTAACCTATTTTTTCCTTTCCAACGCTTACTGTCTGCAACCGAGCAAGGAACCACAGCCAGAGCATCACACACTCCTGTTTCTGAGTTCTCAGGGACATCTGTCTACTCGCAGCTTTGACTGAAGAAGAAGCCTAATGAGAGCATATTCTGCACACCGGCCAAGGGTTCTGGAGCTCTTCTTGTTATAACACATACGTCAGACTTCAGAACACCAGACCTCCTGCAGGCAAATGATAAACAGTCTACAGTCCACATGTTTATGGCTTCTGCTGATGTTGTATTTGGAAATGGAAAAAGCATGGCTGTCCTTTTACAGAACATCCTGGTTCCAACTACATGTTTTCCTGAAGACTGCAAGAAAAGTTAAACTTTAGGGCGACCCAGTGCAGCACAATATTATTGTGGAATGTTATAAACCTTTGGTTATAGATTTTATTTAAAGAATCTTTACAATTATAAATACGGTAAGTAACAAAATGAACTCTGCATTTAAGCTGGTGAAGATTCTCAGTCATCCAGGTCATCGTCATACCAAATAAGTTAAAAAACAATCCATTATTTCCAAGTTGTGAATTGAAAAAGCTTTCTGGATGGGACGTGAAATGTCTTCAGACTTGGAAACAAATTCCAGTGGATTGTTTTTGAACTTTTTTAGAATCTCTGCATTTAACTCATCCTCTTGGGGAACAGTGGGCAGCCATCATGCGGCACCCGGGGAGCAGTATGGGGTTAAGTGTCTTTGCTCAGGGACCCAGAGTGGCAGTCTGTGGGGCTCAAAACTCAAAACCTCAGGATTGGAAGTCCATGTCTTACAGCTGACGCCACTAACAATGGTAATTTCTCAACAATGATATCCACATTACACCTAAACTGTTATTATCACACGTTGAAAAAAATTACATTTTAGTTTTCTGACAGAATCTCTAAAAGTAGAGTGAAAATGTCTGGGAAGATGTATTTCAATAGATACATAGAATGAATAATAACTGCTATTTTCTACATTACAAAATCTGCAGAAAAAAACAGACTCTCTACCTTCACACATGCAGGAGAGGTTTGCTTGGATCTGGAATCAAGTTCTCAGTTAGGTTTTATTTATTTTATGTTTTTCCTTTTTTTTTACTTCAATGTAAAAATATACGTTGCATTTCTACAAAGTTAGTGAGCATAGATAGATCCCACAGTTATTTTCAATAGCTGTCAGCACTAATGAAGGTACCAATGAGCAGTAGACAAGCAGGATGAAGAGGCGATAAAGTAGAGGCAGAGGTGTTGGGGAAAGATGTGAGGAAGCACAGGACCCTACAGTAAGTGAAAGGACAGCTGGTTACTGTTCGCCTGGCTGCCTGCCAGCCTGCTGAAAGGTGAGAGCAGAGAGCTCTCCTTTACTCTCTCACAAACACACACAAGTAGCAGCATACATTTCCAGAGCTATTTTTTGTCTTTCTACCCTGGGAGTAGATGCAGTTAGGCCTAAGAATGCCTTCCTTCGCTGCCTGCACCCCGCTAATGGCTTTTGCAGATAGCAGATATCTCACAATGGAAATAAAATGTGGTCATCTGTGATCAGATCCCTGCTAAACTCTGAGATAACTCGTCTCCATGGAAACCTGGGTTTCACATTCATATATTTTGTCTAAAGTCTGTCTATTCAGAGGTGTCATCAGTCCAAACATACATCTGATCAATCAACCAATCAACCAATCAACCAATCAATCAATCAATCAATCAATCAATCAATCAATCAATCAATCAATCAGGCCTTTGTTTATGGAAGAAGGATCGGATCTCTAGATGTTATTTTTCTGAGCTCCATCTCTCCTCCAGCAGGCCACTGTGATGGAGATGATTAACATAAAGACGCAGCAGCAGATCTTCCTGCTTTTGGTTCTTTCAGTCCTTCGCTTTCTTTTCAAGAAAGAATATAAAGAACCTATTTTTTATATACATCTAATGAATTATTCAACTAGAAATGATGAGCTGTATCTGGAGCGGCTGAAGCCTCCTGTTTCTGCGCTATGGATCACCTACCTGTTTGTCTCCTGTAGCCTGATGTTGCGGGTTCAGAAAAGCCAGATCGCGGTTCGGTCCGGCGGCTGAAGGCGGACACTGGATCGGTCCAAAGCCGCTGAATCCCGCTATTGTTCCGCCGTGGTCGCCCTCCACACCATTTATCGCTATGTGTCCCACACGGCTGCAGCAGGGAGGCAGCCCGCAGTGTTAGCCAGCAGAAGATGCTTCATGGCTCACATCTGATTCTTCTGGATGCTGGAGCTTCTTCACCTTATCGCGCTGCATGCAAACAGGCACACCTCTTATTCTGCAGTCGGACTGGAGCCGGGTCTCCGGTTCCTTTTAGCCGATCGTGCAGCTGAAAACACCGCGAAGTTGTCCGCTCGATCCAGTGACGCTCAGTCCTCCCGCAGAAAGCCGTCCAGGCTCCTCTGCTCTGAGCAGGCAGGCTGCTAGAGCTCAGGAAGGGCCGGGTGGGTGGTTGGTTGGGTGGTCCGCATAGAGGCGCGTACAGCGCAACCTGGCGGAACGTTCTTCACTGTGTTCAGATCACTGTGCTTGAAGGTGATGTCTACTGGCCCTCATGGGCCCAAAGTGCTGTGGGGCCCACTGGAAAACATTCCAACACACATTAGCCCAAGAACATCTGAAGATAGACGGTCCTTCAAATAGCCATTAATGTTAAACTTTTCCTCCAAAAAAACTATTGATATTTTGTTTCTTTTGCATGAACATCAAGCAAGAATTTCAACTCCCAAAATATCAAAAAACATCTGCTGACATTGCTTATAGTTACGGAATAGGTCCACTGGAAAACAAAAAAAAGTTTACTGATTTTTTAAAAATGTTATTTCAGTTTAATATTGGAAAATAGTCAGACTTCTGAATATAATCTCCTTTTTCTCTAAATTCTGACAGCTAACAAACATGTTAGCTTCAAGCTGTAGTCACTGGGGCACTAAAAAGTCGCCTAATTCATTCATTTTCCACCAATGTGGTACTGTTCCTCCCAAACAACACATCTTTGTCAGTGAAGCTGACTGCTCCCACATCTCTTCCTTCATGGTGCCCTTAAAAATTAAGATCCAAAATTCTGAGATTAAAGTAAACATTCTGAGAAAAAAAGTCAGAATTCTGAGATTAAAGTCAGAATTCTCCCATATTAAAGGAATAGTACACCCAAAACATGATTAGCCTTCATTTTCTACTCACCCCCATGCTGAACAAAACTCTGGAGTACTTTTTTGATATCTCAAATGCATCTGGAGATCTGGGAGGCTTCTTGCTGTCTGCTGACATTCAAATAATGGAGGTCTATGGCGCCCGAGACAGAAAGGTCCATAAAAGTCCACAAAAAACGTGTCAATATTCCTCCATACTGCTCGTCCAATGTATTCCAAGTGTCCTGAGTGGGTAGCGTCCATAATTTACTCGAAACGAAGTCATTTAGAATGTTTTTAGAGCATAAACAGTAGTGTATAGGATTTCCTGAAAGCGCGCGCCTGCGCGTTCACGACGCTACGGAAGCCGGCTGACCAAACCAGATGAAAGTGCGCATTCAGCGTCTGCTCTGCCGATAATGCAAGCGTAGAAGAAGAAATGTGCTGTTTACCTGTGCAAATGTCTGAGGACTTCAGTGTTGAGGAAGAGCATGAGTTCTTTCCCGAGCTGAATGCGCACTTTCATCTGGTTTGGTCTGCTGCGGTTTCCGTAGGCCCGTGAACTCGCAGGCGCGCGCTTTCAGGAAATCCTATACACTACTGTTTATGCTCTAAAAACATTCTAAATGACTTTGTTTCGAGTAAATTCTGGATGCTACCCAATCAGGACACTTGGAATACATTGGACGAGCAGTATGGAGGAATATTGACACATTTTTTGTGGACTTTTATGGACCTTTCTGTCTCGGGCACCATAGACCTCCATTATTTGAATGTCAGCAGACAGCAAGAAGCCTCCCAGATCTCCATATGCATTTGAGATATCAAAAAAGTACTCCAGAGTGTTGTTCAGCATGGGGGTGAGTAGAAAATGAAGGCTAATCATGTTTTGGGTGTACTATTTCTTTTAAACTGAAATAAATTTCAAAAATCAGTTTTTATTTTTTCAGTGGCCCTAATCCTCTTCTGTATATATAGTAACTTTTAACCCAAACAGCGAAAAGAAAGCCTGCATGGTGACAAAATTATCAGCAAACACATGCATTTCTTTTAATTAAAAAAACATTTCTTTGTTAAAGAAAAATTGAAATCAGTGTAAATATCTATCACAAGTGCCAAATTATTAAAATAAAGATAAAAAAATATATATATATATAAAAGAATCCTCTGGACTTGGTTTTCTAAGTTTGAAGATGTTTCGCTTCCCATCCAGGAAGCTTTTTCAATTCAAGATGTCAGGAATAGGGTGTGTTTTGTTAGCACACATGGCTCATGTATGGAGGCCTTAATTCTTCATGCGGGCGACCCGGGTTCGAATTTGATCTGTGGCCTTTCCTGCATGTCTCTCCCCCTTTCTCATATACTCGTTCCTGTTAGCCTACTTTCCATAAAAACCAGCCACTAGTGCTGTAAAAAAAGAATGTCCTGATAAGCGCCGTTTTTATTTTGAAAACATGCTAATTGGAACAGACAAAGGGGTCCACCCCTTTGGAATGGAGGTCGTTTGGCTTATTTTGTTGGACCACTGTACCCCATACCCATCTAAGTGTCAACTCACTGATAAAGTTTAACCACTTTCTAACAACCGCCAAATTTAAAAAAAATGCTGCAAACATTTAAAGCTATTCTGCAGGATTTTCGCAAATTTTTTATGTATGCATGAGCCCATTTCTCCATCTTCTTCCGCTTATCCGGGGTCGGGTCGTGGGGGTAGCAGATTCAGTAGGGAGGCCCAGATGTCCCTCTTCCCAGCCACTTCATCCTCCCGGGGAATTCCAAGGCGCCCCCAGGCCAGCGGCGAAACATAGTCCCTCCGGTGTGTCCTGGATCTCCCCCTGGGCCTCCACCCGGTGGGACGTATCTGGAACACCTCAACAGGGAGACGCCCAGGAGGCATCCTAATCAGATGCACGAGCCACCTGAACTGGCTCCTCTGGATGTGGAGGAGCAGCGGCTCTACTCTGAGTTCTCCCAGAGCTCCTCACCCTATCTCTAAGGGAGAGCCCAGACACACTACGGAAAAAACTAATTTCAGCCGCTTGAGGAGCTAATCCGGGATCTCATTTTTACGGTCATGACCCAAAGCTCATGACCATAGATGAGGGTAGGAACGCAGATCGACCAGTAAATCGAGAGCTTTCCTTTTTGGCTCAGCTCTCTCTCTTCACCACAACAGACAGGGCACAGCAGACGCCGCACCAATCTGCCAATCGATCTCCCGCTCCATCTTCCCCTCATTCCTCCACAAAGTACATCCTCCTCAACCTGGAGAAGGCACTCTACCCTTTTCTGGCTCAGACCATGGTCTCGGTTCTGGAGGCACTGATTCTCATCCCGGCTGCTTCACACTCGGCTGCAAACCACTCCAGTGAGAGCTATAGATCACGCCCTGATGAAGCCAATAGAACCACATCATCTGCGAATAACAGAGATGCAATCCTAAGGCCAGCAAGACAGATCCCCTCAACACCTTGGCTGCGCCTAGAAATTCTGTCCATAAAAGAGACAAAGTCCAAGCCTCACTGGAAATGAGTCCGACTTACTGCCGGCAATGCGGACCAGGCTCTGACACCGGTCATACAGAGACCTAACAGCCCCTATTAAAGGGTTACACCATACTCCCGGAGTACTCCCCACAGGACCACCCAAGGGACACGGTCGAATGCCTTCTCCAGATCCACAAAACACATGTAGACTGGTTGGACTAACTCCCATGCTACCTCCAGAATCCTGCTGAGGGTATAGAGCTGATCCAGTGTTCCACGGCCAGGATGAAAACTACACTGCTCCTCCTGAATCCGAGATTCGACTATCCGACGGACCCTCCTTTCCAGAACCCCAAATATAGACCTTACCAAGGAGGCTTAAAGGAATAGTACACCCAAAACATGATTAGCCTTAATTTTCTACTCACCCCCATGCTGAACAACACTCTGGAGTACTTTTTTGATATCTCAAATGCATCTGGAGATCTGGAAGGCTTCTTGCTGTCTGCTGACATTCAAATAATGGAGGTCTATGGCGCCCGAGACAGAAAGGTCCATAAAAGTCCACAAAAAACGTGTCAATATTCCTCCATACTGCTCGTCCAATGTATTCCAAGTGTCCTGAGTGGGTAGCGTCCATAATTTACTGGAAACGAAGTCATTTAGAATGTTTTTAGAGCCTAAACAGTAGTGTATAGGATTTCCTGAAAGCGCGCACATGCGCGTTCACAACGCTACGGAAGCCGGCAGACCAAACCAGCGCATTCAGCTCGGCAAAGAACTCATGCTCTTCCTCAACACTGAAGTCCTCAGACATTTTTCTTTCGTTGTTTCTTTCTTTGCACAGGTAAACAGCACATTTCTTCTTCTACGCTTGCATTATTGGCAGAGCAGACGCTGAATGCGCACGTTCATCTGGTTTGGTCTGCCCTTCCTTAGCGTCATGAACGCGCATGTGCTCTAAAAACATTCTAAATGACTTCGTTTCGAGTAAATTCTGGATGCTACCCACTCAGGACACTTGGATTACATTGGACGAGCAGTATGGAGGAATATTGACACGTTTTTTGTGGACTTTTATGGACCTTTCTGCCTCGGGCGCCATAGACCTCCATTATTTGAATGTCAGCAGACAGCAAGAAGCCTCCCAGATCTCCAGATGCATTTGAGATATCAAAAAAGTACTCCAGAGTGTTGTTCAGCATGGGGGTGAGTAGAAAATGAAGGCTAATCATGTTTTGGGTGTACTATTCCTTTAAGACTGTGATTCCTCTGTAGTTGGAACAAACCCTCCGGTCCCTTTTTTTAAATAGAGGGACCACCACCCCGGTCTGCCAATCCAGGGGAACTGCCCCCGATGTCCACGCAATGTTGCAGAGTTAACCAACACAGCCCCACAACATACAGAGCCCTAAGGTACTCAGGGCGAATCTACTTATGCACGCCCTGTTTAACAGTTGCTGTTTTCATAGCTCATACGAGCTTACTGTGGAAATTAAAGATCATCCTCTATACCTTTAAAGCTACAGTGTGTAATAATTACAGGGATATAAAGTCAGAAATTTAATATATTATACATAACTATGTTATTTATCATCACCTATGAGCTCAGCCTTTTAACCATAATATTTGCGTTGCCTTAGAATTCGTTATTTATAATTACATAGGAGCGGGTCTCGCAGCCATGGAGGCAGACATCTTTGCGCTACGGCAAGCGCAGAGGCAACAAACTAGCAATTGCGAGATCTCCCATTACGCTCGAAAATAACTACAGCAAGTTGAGAGAGATGAACTGAGACGGTACTGAACAATAGATGGCAGTATTATGCCTGAGAAGCGTTTATTCTGCCTGAAACCAA